TAAATTTTAGTAAAATTTAGGCCAGAGCTCATTTGATGTTAAATCACACTTGAGAGATTGGGTGCAATACATAAACCACTAAACTACCATTTTCTGTGTTCAGTATTACACTACACCAAGAAAAATAAAAAGGTAAAAGATGGGACCAAATAAATATACTTGTGCCATTTTCTTGTATTAAATTTAAACTAAAGAGGGTGGCAGAAAGAGTAAAAAAACGTGACAAAATATATTAGAAACCTGTAGACATTCTATGTTTATGCTGTCTTGATACATTTTAGTATTTCATTGTATTTTTTGGACTGACTGTAACACATGGTACGTGTAGGAAAAGGGGTGATATGTTTAAATTTGAAGAATGTAAGATCAACTTGCCCTCTTCTGCGGCGAATCTCTAGACAAGGCGAGCCTGAGGCAGACTGAGGAGGGTGACATTGCACCATGAGCTTCTGCCCAAGAGCCATCAGATCATGTAAACACAGGTGGATTTCATACAGAGCCATTGGCTACCTTGGTGCTGCACCACCTACCTCTTCCAGGGTGGTGCAGCACAAGGTAGCTGGGAGACTCTTCCAGGGTCTCAAGGGCTTTATTATCATGGATGAAAGGATATAGATTCACCCTAAAATAAAAGCGAACCTTGTGGAGCAAAATCCTTTTTTATTATTGTAATTAGGATTCATTCTGGTGTAGGATACAAGCCATGCACCTCTTTGGGATGTTTGGAGTGACAATTTGTTTAAAGCTTCTCTCATACTACACAAGACTGTGTTTATGTTATGAACAATTGCTGCAAATATTTGGATGCATGAAATTATTCCTGTGCTTTCAGGGAACCACAAAGAATGCAAGGAGAGAGCTGAGACTTAGTACTTTAGGTCCCAGGTCATACCTCAGATAGAGTAATATAATTTATCACCACCTTTGTATGAAATCAGCATAGATGTAAAATGGGATCAGCATTGTAGCTAATCATAGCCTAGGCCTGTACCTTAATTAAAAGACATTATTCTTCAGTCCTAGAACATGAGAGACTGATTAGAGTGTCAATTAATGAATTGTGGGTGGTGGGTTTATTTTCTGGAAAGCCTGTGGAGTTGATGACAAAGGAGGCCAGGGGATAGAGGAGCCATTTGTTTAAATAACTGAAGTTATTTTTAATAATTTCTCTGTCCTTTGCTTTTAAAGACACCATTTAAGGCTGGCATGTTTATCAGTACCTCTCTCTGCTCTGCTCGGCAAGCAGACAAGATGAGTTCAAAGAAAAGTGTAAAGGAGATGATGCAAGGAGTGACCTGGCAACAGTGAGCCTCTAGCAAACTTCCTCCTTACTAATAGAAGTTTGTCTCCTTCCCTGCTTTGTGTAGAATGCTGCTGGGAGTACCCTGTTTGGCACCTTCATCCAGGGCCTCTTCTCATTCTTTTGGTGGGTTTTTTTTTTGGTTGGTTGGGGTTTTTGTTTGTTTGTTTGTTTGTTTGTTTGGGTTGGTTGGTTGGAGGGGTTTTGGGGGGGATTTTTTTGGTGGGTTTTTTTGGTGTGTTTGTTTTTTTTGGTTTTTTTAGGGTTTTTTTTTTGTTTGTTTGTTTTGTATTGTTTTTTGGGGTTTTTTTTTTTTGTTTTTAACTTTTTTGTCAGGAAGGTTTTGTGTCTACAAGCTTGGGCCTGAAAGAAGACTATTTATGATCTTCTGCTTTTCTGTGTTTATTCTTAATATCATCACTCCATCTTCCATACCAAATTGTCTTATTCAGCTAGAAAAGCAAACTGCTAGAACTATTTTTTTCATTATGATAGTCAGGTTCCTCTAAGAGTAGTCTTTAACACTACTGTAGGAAGAGAGTAATTTTTGGTTTGAATGCTTTGACTGTCTTCAATGTTAAGGTGCAGTTTAAAGTTTTCTTTTTAATTTTTTTTTTTGTTTGGTTTGGTTTGTTTGTTATGTTATATCACCAGAAGGAAAATGAGAAAGGAAATTCTATTTAGATTTACAGCATTTGGAGGATAAACTAGGACAAATAAGATTCACATTCACTGCACTGTTAATATTCAAGCGTATATGTATAATATTTTTTTTTACCAACCTGCCATACAGCACTCAGATGCTATAAACTCAGTACAGTGTTTCCCAATCCATTTGGTTTTGGAGAGCTGTGAGGAGGCAGAAGCCATTGGTGTTATGGTAGCGACTCCAAGAGCAGTGTTGTGCTCTTTTCATTTGAAAGCTATTCTGTCTGTACTGTCAAATGATCAGTTTTAGAGCTGCTTTTTAAAAGCTGTTTATCAACACAGCTGTTAAGGGATTTATACCACATTAGTGTACACTCACAATGTACAGGTCTGAAATAATTTTTCAATATTTTTCCTTTCATAAAGCAGTGGATTCATCTCATATAACTCCAGTCTTCAAAATGAGGTATCTGGAATGGGAATATAGGAGCTATATTCAGTAGGGAGTAAAAGGGAAGGGTTTAAATTTCATAAAGTAGAGAGCAGCAGCCGTCTCAAAATTAAATCTTTTAAGAAGGTTAAGATATGGAGGAGTCAGTTTCAGCACTCAAGCTTGAAGATTAAATTTAAGGGCATGCAAATCAAAATGCTTCACTGTGGTTCTAGCCAGTATTGAACAGAAGTGTAGGATTCATAGATGGGGCAGGGTGGCCAGGTTCTTCCATTGTTTTAGATAACCAAGGTGCTGGTGGTAGTCTAACTACCACCTGGTAGCTAGAATGGCTAGTAGCTGGCTCAGTGCAATTTGGGAAACCTGTATAATTACGTGAGATTTTAGTGGAATCCTGAGCACAACATAGCATGAGACAGGCCATGGTGATGTGCTAGATAAATTTGTCATTGAGTGAAAATCAGAGTCACAAAGGTTGGATGTTCATTTCTGTTTTAGTGATGGAATGAAATACAGAAATGTGACCACCAGCATCTGACCTAGTTTACTGAAGAGTTACCCAGCCTAATTACTGGTCATTCAGTGTGGAAAATGTGGGCAAGAATAATCTTCTTGGAGTTTTTATGTCTGTCTCCTGAATAGATAAGAGCTGTTCATAGAATGATTTTAGCTAGTGAGATGAAGAAATCTGCTCAGTGTACTGTAACTCTTTCAGTTTCAAAGGAAAATTATTAAAAATAACAGAAAGGAATTAATGGCTTGTAATCTAAGGCCCCAAAATATACTAATCTAAATGTAGACAATAGCTTATTGTCTGGTATTCTTCTGAAATATGATGCTGTTATTCTATTTTGTCAAATGTTTATCAAGAAACATTTGGACTGTGTTTTGCATTTGTGACTTTTTAAGCCTTCTGTACCTAATTCATTACTGCCAGGGAGGAAGTTTACTATACACAAGATGTATTTGTGTATTTGCTTTCATTTATGGTTGACTGAAATTCAATGTGTTATTCATATATATATAGCACAAAAAGTCGTTGGACATAGATAAGCAAATTCAATAATTCTGAAGACATCTTCAGAATCTGGACTTATATAACACATTGCAGGCTTGTGACACTTATTCTGGTCAAGTCACTTACTGAACTATCAATTGAGACTTGTCCTGATACAGGCTTGAAGATTATAGGGGCACAACTCTAGCATAATTAAATAATTAATTGTGTCATTGTTTCTGTATTTATTTATTTATCTACTTAATTAAGGCTATGATTTTCTCAAACATTATCTAAGAATATTTTGATTAACTGCTGTGGGCTCAGGCCAGACTGAAAATATTTGAAAATATCAATACTTGGGCACAAATTTCAAACCTAGTTTTTTAGAGCAGTAATTTCTCCCTAAAAAAACCCTAACCAACCAAGCAAGTCAAAAACCTTCCTACATAATGTGTTCTCCTTGAATTAGATAACTATGTCCAGTAGAAACTGGATTGGTTCCCATATGTCCTAGTGGAGGTCTGAAAAGACAAGTATGTGTGTTTTCAGGGCAGTTATTCTGTTGTTCAGTTATATGTAGCTGTAAATTTAAGTTGGGCATTTACTCCTCATTTCAAGGCTTCTGTGGGCTTCTAATAGTGTTTTCTTTTTGAAGCAGCAGTAGGGTGCTTGTACAACAGCTTCTCTGAGAGATAGTGTATGTTGTGGTAACAGATGAAGCCTACTTAGGGTAATATGGTCTTACAGTAATGAGAATTATTATTCTGCATTTTATAAAAGAAAATAAAACATTAAAGGGTTTAAATCAGTTGTTTGGAAAAATTACTTATCATCATCAGAGATTTGCTTGAATCTCTAAAAGCTGTTTTGAGATTTAGAGCTGTTACTGAAATTATGGGGGAAAAAACCTGAAATACGTTGCCTGAACACTTCTCAGAATCAAGTCAAAAGATGCTTGCAGGTGGGTAATACGTACCCTGAAATGCTGACCAAACTGACTTGTCAGGAATGTGATTCCAGGAGTGCATCTTCCATGGTGTTTTGACTGAAGTCAGGAGTGCAGAATTTACTCTGCTTTTCATACTTTCATTTACATCAAGAAGTGATTTTGGTCCACATGAACTGCATGTCAGGAGCTCATGTTTCACTGTTCAGATTTGTCACTACTGGTCCCCAGCACTTTTTTGTGCTAAAGGCAGTGTGGCCTTTAGTAGTCCTGCTGCATTGAAGGTCAGATGAACTGAACTTCAAATGAGGAGTCAGTTAGCTAGAGAAGGGACCCAACTTCCTTCTTTGTATTAGAGATCAAACTAGTGACATGAAGTGACAACTTACCTAGAATAAAAAAGAAATTTCTGACAAAAATTTTTTTAAATACTGTTTGTCACCTTTTTTATAAGGTTTTTCAGTTTATAATTGTCCCTTCTGTTCCTAGTGGGATAAAAAAAATTGAAACAACACAAAGACACAGCACCACCAAAAAAATATTAATCTATAGCAGTAATTCTCTTTTAGTGTTTAACACCTTGATAGATACAGTAACTGGATTAATGGCTATTGTTCACAAGATACTTTACTTTTCTATTTTTCTTGTTTGATAGGTGATATATGCCCTGAACACTAAGAATGATGAACATGAGGACAGTATAGAGGCTTTGAGAGAGGCTCATGAAGAAGAAATTCGGAATATTCTTGCTGAGACAAGAGAAACTATTCTCCAGTGTAAAAGCAAAGCTGAAGAAGAGCAGTTACTGAGAAAGCATATTCAGGCCCTTGAAATTGCAGTAGCACAACACAAGAGATTGAAGGAAGAAGCCTTAGCAGAGTTAATATTGTGTAAAAAGCAAGCAGAAGAGAAGGAGTCAAGAACAGAAGAGAAACAAGCACAGACGGGTCTTTCTACAGACACAGTAGACACCACTGCAGACTTTGAAAACAAACTTCCACATTTAAATCAGGAGTTTGATGGACTGCTAAATGAATGCAAAGCATTTAGAGGAGAAAATCTAGATAAAAAAGTAAATTTAGATGAAAAATATAGTGTGGAAAGGCACACTGTAATGAATGAGATAGAAAACCTGAAGAGTGAGAACCAGAAAACATATGAAGAATATACTCAGAAAACAAGAAAACTGCAAGCCCCATGTGAGATACAAAAAGAGACTTTGAAAATAGCTATGCAGCAATCTGTGATAGAAGCAAACTGTGAACAAGGAGAAACAGAGCAAAAGAAGAGCTCAGAGGCTGAGGAAGGTTTTTTGCTGCAGCAGGTAAAGAAGCTGGAGGCAGACCTAGAGGAGAAAAGCCAGAAGATAAATGAGAGGAAGAAGCATTCCCAGAAGCTGAAGGAGCGGATACAGGTAGAGTTAATCCATATCTCTGCCTGAGAAAATGAAAATTATCAATTCTTTAAAATTTGGGAGAGGAGGGGCTTTTACAGATCATGTTGATTCAAATGCTTTTTAAGTAGTAAAGCAGTTTTAGAGGCTTAGAATGGAAATAGGAGTGATATAATGCTGGCATTTTTAAAGATAGAGTTAAGATGATTAGTAACTCATTAGGAGAACACTTTGAACACTATAATTTGTATTCCTTGAGGGAGGAATGAAGTAAAATTTATCTGTTGCCTGAAGAAAGTTTTACCTTTTCTGCCCGGCAATGTGGCGGAACAGCACACAGGCACTACTGCTACCAATGACTGTTTGTTTACAGAGTACATTCTCCTTTTCCCTTGTGGTTGCCAATAGCTCAATGCATGGATATAAAGAGGGTTGGATATGAGAGCTGAGCTGGCAGTTTAGGAGTCAAGTGTTTTGTATGACTCTTGCAGCAATGGCTTGTACCCAGTGCCATGTAATGAAGTGTCCTTTACACTTGTGAAGTTTTATGTGCTGAGCCATGCGACTTTGGCCATTGGTTCTCACCTTGCACTTTGCCTGCCCACCCTCACTGCTGTGTATCTCACACATTTGCAGCACAGCTCAGCAGACCCTTCCTGGTTGCATCATGTGTCAGATGCAGTTTCAGAGGTTGGCATGTCATGGGAAATCTGCCAAACAGCTGCTTTATAAGGTCAGAGTGCAGGAGAGATGCTGATGCACAGTGCTGACATTGTAGCACCCAGCCATGCTCTGTACTCATCAGTTCAACTTTCTTCAGATACTTTTGGTCCTTTACATCACGCAAACTCACCTACCAGACATGCCTCCAGCCCTATGATAGCAATCTTGTGTATTAGATAAGAAAACACCTTGAAAGTCTAGACTTGGAGTATTACAGAATAACAAAAATTGTTCCCTAATGGGAAAGAAGATTTTCTTCCTTTGGAGGAAGAGAGCCCCAGAATTCTGCAGGGAGCAGGGTCAGCCCAGTCAGCTGTTCTTCCAAGGCAGCTCTTAACTGTTTTCACCATCTGCCCTCACATCTTGCTTGCCACTATCGTTTTGCTGACGATGCAGAGTTCTGAGCTACTTCTCTGAGGATGTTCTTAGAGGGAGTTCAGCCTTCAATACAGTCCCTACCTCTGTGCTTTACAAGATCAGAGGATGAATTGAATACACCTTCCCCAGCATTATTCAGATTTCATTGTCTCGGTGTGTAGATCTGTAGCAGAACAACCTCTATCTTTTACAGAAAAGTGAAGAGGATACAATGAATGGCAGAGATACAGATAAGCCCTTTTTTTAAATTGAGCCAATCTGTAATATCTTTTTTAGTACTAAAAAGTATCCTGGCTCTGTAGAAGTTGGAAGCATTAGAGGAAAAGAGAGAAAGGAAGATTTTGATTTTTTTTGTGGGTACATTAGGTGACGTTCAGGAAAAATTAAGATTAAACACATGAAAATTTATGTGCATGGTTTACGCTTCTGATTATTGTATAAGATATGCAGTAATTTAGGAACAAATAATGTAAGCTATTACATTATTTGTGGAAGTGGAAGAGGAATTACATTATTTGTAGAAGTGGAAGTAAGAGGATGGTGTCATTAGCAACTTATTTTTTAAATTCGGTTTCAGCTGGATAAAACTGAAATATTTTCTGAAGAACATATGCTTAACTTGTACATTTCAAATCCTCTAAGTCTGTGGAATGAGGCTAATTTACATACCACTGGAGCATATTGCCTTGAATGTTTGAAGAGATACCTTCAAACTAGGATAGATGTGGAAGGAGGGAAAGAGTTAGACATGATGTTGTTTTCTGTTTCTTTACAGTTTGAACAAAAAAAAATTAAAGTTTCTCCTTTCTAAATTGACTATTTCTTATGCCACCATTAAATACATTTTTCAGACTTCTTTGGACAATGGCAGACAGGGAAGTGGAAACATCTTTTTAATCAGAAACACCTTTGAGCATTAGTAAATACTAGCAGGAAAAGCATTTTAAGGCTTGAAAGGTGAAAGGACTATTGATTCAACAAGATGAATTTTCCTGTGTTCTCCTTAGTGTATGCCAAGAGGTTTGGGGCTTTAGATGAAAGGCATTGCATTAGTACACATTTATTATTACTGCTGTAAAAGGGAGAATACAAAGGCTGACAAACCGTTAAGTCTGATCTGTTCAGTCTAGTTTTGGAAGAATTCTGGCATATATGCCAGAGGTAAAAGTAACAACCTTACCTTGAAATTTTGAGCTACAGAGAGTGTTAAATACTGTTAATAAATGAGGTTTTACTTGACATTCATATAGGAAAAAAAGGCAATTTTATCTGAATGAGTATTGCAGTATTATGCTAGACATCTGAAACTGCAGCTAGAACCTCCAGAAATAGAACATTCTGTATGGTTCAAATTTTTTCCATTAGTTATGGAAAGACAACTCCCAGGAAAGTCTGGACACAAGAAGTCCCAGCAAAGTAGGACACAATTTTTTCTGAGTTTAGGCATCTGTATAATGGATTATGTTACAAACTGTTGTATTTGAGCAACTGAAACAGCCCTAATTAATATTCATTAACTTTTGGCATAAATTGTCACGAAATTATTAGAAGTATAACCTATTTCAAGTATAGGATAATCTCAGACATCTTTTAGATGGTAACTATTGATGGGTATTCACTTTACAATGATGCCAACTATGTGTGAGGGAAGGCCTCCACATCATAAGTATTCTGGCAGCAGAGACAGTTTAAGGGTATGGAAGAGCAAAAAAAAAGCATTTAAATCAGCTCTGTAGGTGATTTATATCGTGGAACACCAAGAGAGAAAATGACCATTTATTTCTTATTACAAGAAAATTACATATGTAATAAATGTGAAAGTAATGTCAGGCATATTTTAGGATTTGGAAGTGTAGCTTAAGCGAACACAACAAGAAATTCTGGGATCAAAATGTATACTGAAAAAAGAGGAAGATCTAAGTGTAGTCAAAGAGAGAAATTCACATCAAGCAAAGGAAATCCTGCATAAAGCAGGTAAGATACTCATTAATGTCATTCTAAAGTATTTTCCATGTTAGTAGTCACTGATATTGGAAATTCTGCAAGTTATTTATGCTACTTGAAATGTAAATTTTGGTACTACAGAAGATAGGGAAGTTACATTGAATTCCCAAAGCAAAGCTGTTACAAAAGTAGATGAACTGAAACATCAAATAACGCAGCTGCAGCAAATGACTTGTACCAAAGAGAGTCAGGAAAAGAGCAGCTCTGAAGATGTGCAAGAGCTTTAACAGGTGATTTGCTCTCAGCTACTCAAAGGCATGGCATACCAAAAGAACTGAAATCAACGTAGTTTTTTTTATGATTGATGACTTTATTGTACAGAATTCAATCCTGTAGGATTCCCAGATCCCTGAGCTCATTCAGTGGAACACTGACTTGTGTTCATAATGTGAAGTACCTGAGTTCCTGCAAAGACAGCGAAGGAGTCCTTGGGCTAGACCAGGGCATAGTGTTCAACTGCTTCTGTAACCAAATCCTTAAAGAGAACAATGTCTAAGGCAGACTTTCTCTGCTGAGGTCAAGCTGGAATACTGATTTATTTATTTTTAAATATAGAAAATGGTTATTCTGAAAAGCTGTGCAGAAATGATAGCATTAATTAACTCAGTAAAATGAGGAATGTGTGTATGCTGAGAGTGCCCTCTGTACAATATCTCCCCTTAGGCAACTGTTCAGCCCTGAATCTTTTCTATATTTTTTAGTTCTCTTTAACTATTGTTAAGCTGCCATTTAGGAAAATTAGACTTGGCATCACAGTCAGCAAATCATCTACTCTACTTTTTCATAGGACTAAGGATGTCCTTGAGGGAGTCTGCATGGTTGGAAGTGAGTTGCACACCCAAGCTCAAGCCAGAACAGCAAAAAATCCCAAATAATCCCTAGACTGCAGAAGAGGCTTACCATCCTGAATCAGTACAGTTCTACATTTTTAACTAAAATAAAGCCAATATTTTTCAATGGAGTATTGCCACCTAAATAGTATTTTCACTGCAAAATAGACTACTGTGACCCCAGAGTTCTACCCTGGGGTTTTTTTTACAATATATCTAGTGTGTTTTATAGGCTGTGGAAACTGTAGCTGTTTACAAGGAGGGTATGAATAAAAGAAAGAACTTTTTTTGTAAAATCAAGCATCAGTCCTATAAGGAAAAGATTTGTTTGAAGGAATAGCTGTTAAAAGGAATGGTAATCATGTAACGAAGGCTACAAAGGAAATCATGCCAGTCTAAAACTTCATGGAATTGGAAAAAAAAATAGCAGAAGGTAGGAATGTTCTTCTATTTATAGATGTTTTAATTCATCTGGTTTTAATCTTATTGGTCACAGCAACATCATTTGAATTATGCTCACTGTAGGCACTTTGAATTAACACAAAATGCCAGGATGTTCTTGCTACAGAAAGAATAAATAAATAAAAGAGTCAGACTGATTTATTTCTGTGAAAAGCTCTAAAGACAGAAAGGTGAATTTATCCTTGATGGGATAAATGGCCTTCTTAGCAATACTTATCCTTGCATTCTTTGCATGTGGCAGTTGGAGTGTTTTATATCAGATCCTTCCTGACGAAGAATGTATTGTCGGTGTTATTCCAATTGCTGAGTTAAATTTTCATGGATTGCTGCTGGGAAACACTCAGATAAATTTATTTAATCAGAATTTTGTATTGATTAGGCAGAGGATCTAATTCTGCAAAGTGTTGGCAAATTAATTCAGAGTGCATGTGTTACCAATGAAATTACAACTATTTACAATGCATATATATATATATATATATATGTGTATATATATTTGTCCCTATTTAACTTTAGTCAGAAAGAAGGCTCATCTTCTTGTAGATCCAAACAGCTTACCTCAGCAATACCTTTTTCTCAGTGTGTTTTAAGTGTTATTTTTGTTGTTGATATGCATTAGCAGCAATTGGCTTAAGAGATTCTTCAAAGAATTTCACTTTCATCGGAGCTGCTGTCTGTGACTGAATTCTTTGGCTTTAGGAAATTTGCAGTCTCTAATGCTTTTGTGCAGCAGGAACCTAAACGTGAGCTGAATTCTGTTCAAAGGGAGGATAACCTTGAAGCAGATGTTTAGTTTTAAGCATGTGCTTTAATGACTAGTGGAGCTCACAAGTCAGTGCATGTCTGTGATTTGCCAAATTTGAGCATAAGCTAAGGGGGAAGTTAGGTTCTGACTCCTAATGGACTTCGGTGTTCATCAAAGATCTTCTGGACAGAAAAAGAAGGTTAATTTCAGCAGTTTGTAGAATGGGACAATAAGGCTACTGCTCAAGTGGTTTTTAGACCCTTCTTGGTGCTAAGAATGAACTTCTACCCATTTTCTGCAGTTGACACTACTATAACTTTCCGAGTTCAGTATTTACTTGAGAATAATTAACACTTGCTGACAAGTTGGGAAGTCATAAAAAGCAAGCAGCTGCTGTCCCTAAATGCTGAGCTTCATAGTACCTGCCCAGTCTTGGAAACTAGGAATTTTGTGTTTAGTGCTTGCTAAAAGAATTAATTTCCATGAAACTGCATTTATACATTTTTACAATCTTATTTGTCAAAATTGAACCTGGGTGAGTAAATTATTTTATCTGCTTGTGGAATGGCTCACTTTTCATCAGTATCTGAAGATGCAGTCCTTCAAGATACATAGTTACCCTAGTGAAACCTCATGGAAATGACTTTGCCTTTTATATAGTGTATTTCACTTATTATTAGCTTGTACATGTATTATTAAAATTATGCCAGGCTGAAGCTCTTCGTGTGCGTCAGATTGAATTTAAGTATCACACACTTCATACTTTAGAAAAAAGGCATACTAGCAGACATTTTTTAAAATATAAATAAATATTATAATAAATATCATTACTTAAAAATATTATTACTTACAATAGTATCTTCTTAGAGATTCATATTAATCAGAAAAATATTGAGCTAGTAAAACAAATAAAATTACAAATTTTTTCATTATTGATGCTGTTTATATCCTCTTATTCAACTAAGGCCTGTAACAGCTGTTAAGGAAGCGTTATATCTATGTTTCCAGATAGAAAAATTGAGATACAAAGAAAGTCAGTTGACAGAGATGAAGTGGGAATGTTGCACCTGATTTTCATGTTTTCATCAAAAAGACAGTTATATCTGCTCCTTTTTGTACAGACAAAACTAAAGCTAATTCCACCCTTGCAATATCCATGTATCTCTTTAATTCCATCCTTTAATTGCTACCTAAGTTTTATACAGGGGTGTGTGAGAAGGAGCTGTACAGGATGGGGGAGGTGTTAAGTCGTTATTTTTTTCAGTTTCCTTCATTTGTAGTGCATGAAGGCACTGTAGAATGTTTTTTGAGTTTGCAAATTTGCACAAATAGGAAGAGCAAGCACACTAATGAATTTGTAATGCATGTCACTTCCGGAAGTTTCTAGAAGTTGCACATTCAGTCTTTCTACAATAAGTAATTGCTAACACTTGCTACAAACAATTGCTACAAGCTCTTGGTCACTGTCTTGCAACTGATGCTCTCATTGATTTTTTTTAACTATTTCCAGCAACATTGCAATTTTACAATCCTCTTTTTTTTATTATTTTATTTTCTTTTTACTTCCTCACCATTATTTTCTTTATGGATGCTGTCAGATATTGCTTCCTTTGATTCTCTTTCCACTAATTGCCCATTAGTCATCTTGTTATTTATATGGCTAATGTATATTTATGGTTTTTCAGGTCTTGTGGGTGACTCTTGCATACTAAATAATTTTTGAAGATTAACACCACTCTAGGGAAAACAGTCTGACTCTTCATGCTGTACAGTTTTACACCTTAAGGAAGCTTTCAGTAGAAGATTAGGATGATGTGAGCTATATTGTCTCACAGTAATACTGGAAAGAAGCAAGCCAAACTGTTAATATATTTTAAATTAAATAACACAAGTGACAATAAATGACAGTAGCATGTAATGTTGTGCACACTTCTGTATTATCTAGGTTAAGGTAGAAGAAATGTGTTCTTTTTCATGTTGCATGTTTTGTCCCATCTATTGCATGCTCTTGTCTTTTCTTCTTTTTTTTTTATTTTTTTTTATTTTTAATTTTAGGAGCTCCAGACACAGCTAGATGAATTTAAAAGAAAATCCGAGTGTGAACTAAAGCAACTAGAGAAAGAGAAAGAAGTTCTAACTGGGAAACTTCAAAACTCTTCACTTGAGGTAAACTGGGCATAAATATAATGCAGTAATAAAAAGTCTCTTCATTTTTCATCCCATCTGAGAGATTCTAGGTTAGATCTTAATGCTACTTGTTGTGTCTATCATTCAATAAAATATGCAAGGACTCCAAATAGAAATAACAGAAATAACTGCTTCTAAATATCTCTGAAGAGTTTGACAAGCCTATTTATTTCATATATTACTCTTTGGAGATGTGCTAAGGTGAGGAGTTTGGCTATAGTAGGGTTGCAGAGTGACTCTGATTGTTTGTTTATTTACAAGCAAAATTAGAATCTTCCTTACAACTCCTGTTAACTTTCTGATTTTTTTTTAAAGCATAGAGATGTATCTTCACTGATTCTAACCAGTTTCACTTCCCTCAGGTTCAGTGGGAGTTTGCATGGCAACAACTCTGCAAAAGGTGAAGACCTAGATCTTCTTCAGTTGACATTTGTAGCCTCTCAGTGGCCATAATAAATTCTTGCTGAGTATTTAAAGACAGAGAAAGGACAGATAGGACAGATAGGCTCATGAGGAAGCTAAGCAAAACATTGTCCTCCCTTTACTGCCTCCACTTTCCCACATGCCACTACTACCCCTTGGTGTGCATGTTCCAGCAATCAGGGCATGGGTTGTGCTCATTTATGGTAAGCCACACCTGGTTTTTCTCCCATCTGTGCTACACTAGCTCTACTAGTTATGAGTGCAGCATGGGTTTTTCATTTTTATTTCTTCTCTAAAACATTCTGTTAACATACATTCTGTTATCAAACAGTGACATTCTGACATTCTGTCTGTTTCTCAGTCTTACAAATACAGAATTTAAGTGTAGTTTAATGTTCTGAAATTTCTGGCTATTTTAAAGTTTCATTACACATTTCTGCATGCCACTTCTCTGTAAGAATTTTGGGTCAATCCAACCTATGTTGGCCTATTCAGAGTGAAAGGTTTATGACATGAAGGTTTATTCCTCAGGTTTTGCAAATGCAGAAAATAAGGTCGTGAATAGTCAAATTACTTTTCTTGAAATCACATGTTCAGGACAGTAAAATATGAAGGAAACTTATGTTTTCTAACTGTTCATCCAGTCGCATCACAAGATCATGGTAAATTAGCAAAGAGTGCTGGAAAATTATTGCCACCATAAACATAAATAATATTAAATAGTACATAGCATGCCATATGTCACGTTCACAGAGCCATGGTAAATATGAAGATACCCTAAGAAACATTTTATTGTATCTTAGAATCTGACTGATCTCAAAAAGGGGAAATGCTACATTTGAAGAGAAATTTTGCATTTTTGTTGATTACTCCAAAAGTTACTTTCTGATCTAACTACTTGGCAATATTGCCAGGGTAGTGAAGTCATTTCAACTTGTAATAGTTTCCTGCTGTAGGTACATGAATATTCACAGCCAAGAAAGCACCATTTACTATATAGTATTATGTTTCACTTAGGGCATGTTTCCCATCTGGGAACCTTTGCAATGGCTCAGCCCAGAGCTTCCGCCTCAGAGGTTAGGCAATGTGCTGTTACTAATCCAGTTCTAACCTGGATACAATTTCAGACCTAAAAATAGCTTCTTTGGCTGCCTAAGACCCGTTTTTGGTTTGGCTGACATAGCTGGAGCATTATGCAGAGTAGACAGAAGAATGATAATTTCATCTCTCTAGGGTTGCACTTCAAACTGGCAGAATTTCTGTATTAATAAGATTTTTATGGATAAAGAAATCAGACTTCATCTGTTTGGTCATTTGGAAGGAAAGATGTGAGATCCTGTGTGGGTTGAATGCTAATTCATTAGGGCCCTCCAGTTCCTTGGTTTTGAACTACAGGATCTCTTCAGCATGTGTTAGAGGATATTGGTGCCACAACTCAAAAAAAATACGAAGCTATTAGAAAGTGTCCAAAGGATGGCTACAGGGATAGTGAAGGGACTTGAGGGGAAGCTGTGTAAAGAGCAGCTGAGGTCACTTGGTCTCTTTAGCCTGGAGGAAACTGAAGGGAGACCTCATTGCAGTCCAGAACTTCCTTATGAGGGGAAGAGGAGGGGCAGACACTGATTTCTGTCTCTGGGGACCAGTGACAAGACCCAGAGGAATGGCCTGAAGCTGTCAGGGAAAGTTTAGGTTGGATATAGGTTTTTCTCCAAGAGGGTGGTTGGGCACTGGAACAGGCTCTCCAGTGAAGTGGTCACAGCCATCAAACTGACAGAATTCAAGGAGTGTTTGGGCAATGCTCTCAGGCACATGGTGTGACTCCTGCAGATGGGGCTGTGCAGGCCCAGGAGTTGGGCTTCTATGATCCCTGTGGGGATGGCTGTGCAGGCCCAGGAGTTGGGCTTCTATGATCCCTGTGGGCCCCTTCCAGCTCAGAATATTCTATGTTTCTGTTTCATTCTGGAATTAGAAGATACATAAAACATCAGCTTGTCATGATACATCTTCGTATGTGGTTGATCCTTTGCGTGAGGAGGCTCCTTGGATGAGTGAAGAGACATGAATCTTGACTCCATGTTTCAGAAGGCTGGTTTATTATATTATGATATATATTATATTAAAATGATATATTAAAGCTATATTAAAAGAATAGAGAAAAAAGGATTCATCAGAAGGCTAGAAAGAACAGGAATGGAATGCAATAACAAAGGCTTCTGGCTCCCAGAGTCCGAGCCAACTGACTGTGATTGGCCATTAATTAGAAACAACCAACATGCGCCAATCACAGATGCACCTGTTGCATTCCACAGCAGCAGATAGTTATTGTTTACATTTCTCTCCTGAGGCTCCTCAGCTCCTCAGGAGAAAAATCCTAGCAAAGGATTTTTCATAAAATATCATAGCTACATTCATACAATGCCCAGAGTTTCTATGCACCTTGAAGATTCCACCAAATAGCAGCCAAAAATCACAGTCAGAAATTCCTCTGGTCAGGAATTGCCACAAGTTTAGGAATATTGTTTACTGTGAACATAATTGAAGAAACTCTGAAATAAGCCTAAAAAACCTGTGAAATACCATTAATTTTGTTTTTATTTCTTATGCCATATTACTCTTTATGTTATGTTGGGTAATGTTTCCATCTCTGAGATCACTTTATGCAATTCTGGTAGATAAAAGTGAATTAGTAATGGAATTAAAGTACATTTTTTTCAAGAACTTTTGTTTTGCAGCAGGAGGACATTATAAAACACAAAATCCCAGAGTGTTGTTGCTTTGTTAATAATGAAAACATCCAAATAGATTCTGGACTGATATGAGCTGGCAGAGTTTCATTGGCTGAAATGCTACTTTACCAACTTAAGCAAATTGAGCGTCTGGCTATCTGTTTAGAAGTCAGGAAGTGCAAAAAATTACTGGGGCACTGCAAAACATTCCAGAGAAGAATTTTCACTGGTGGATTTGAAAACCTTTTTAATTGCAAGACAGGAGGAAGAAACCTGATAGGATGGAATCGTTTGTTTCTTAACCTCTGTTAGAAGTACAAGGATTCATGAGAATGTCGTTGTATGCCTGTACATTTCTTAATAACTGAAAAACAATGGTATTAAAACTACTTTTCAATCTGATTTATTACTACATTATGTTCCCAGCTTAGCCTGTTTCTAGTTAGTATGATCTTTTGTTTCATGTTAGAAGTCCTTTGGGCCAGTACTTGTCTGTGAAGAGTTGGGGAAGTTTATAACAACATGACCACAGATGGAGTTTATATAGGCCTCTGTTGGTCTTTCCTGCCTAGCTGACTAATTTGCTTTAGAAGTATTCCAAGTAATGTTTTTCCTGTTTCAAATTTTTCTATTATAAAATATACAGCCTTTTTTTCTGACACAATTTTTTCAGTCCCTTTATTTTCAGGAAGCCCATAAAAAATGCATACTTGAGTGTAGTTATGCTAATGCATATTGTGTCAGCTGATAGGAGGGACTGTACAGCATTAAGTCTTTCACATCAAAGGTTAGGTTTATAAGGAACTGCAGTAGCTAAAAATTTTAGTGTTTCTTTTCTTTATACAGGAAAATATTGGCTTGAGTTCAATAGGTGTGAAAACAAAGTAGATTTTTTGCCTGTAACCAGAAACCAAAGTGCCTCTGATTAAATCTTGTGATTTACCACATATTTCTTTAAAAAGTAATTAAAAAAAATGAATCATCTCTTGAAACAAAAGTATGGTTGGCAAGTGGCTCTGGCATCTGCCTATTCTTGGAGTGTATCCAGGCCACAGACAGATCCCATTACACAGATATATTAAAGACATTTAATGTTTTTCATTACAAATACTATTTGGCAATTATTCTTCATAGCTCGATCAGGAAAATTGGAAAATTGGTTTCATTGGATGACACAATGGAAGAAGCCAAGAGACAACTGGATGAATAGTGAACTTAAACTCAGTCTGAGACAGGTGAAGCTAGGTGCTCTTTCAAATTAAATACATCAGTTTGTTGGATAGTTTCAGCAAAGCCTTAGGCCTGCCTTCTGGCTTGTGCCGTATTATTGTGCAAATTGAACTATGGATTGTACCTATGAGATGGAGATGATTTGAAATTTTTAAAAAGTACTTGATGAGCAACAGACAATATATGCAAAAAGGTTGTCATTCTTTACTGAAAAAAAGGGCTCCTTGCACAAAACAAGCATCATACTATTTTTTCATAGAGCAGCACAAGCTCATAAAGTGTATTCAACTTTACATAATTCCTTTCCACTGTGAATGCAGCTTAATTAATCCTATCCTGCTGACTTACTTTTCTGGAAGGTGGCTCAGCTGAAGCAAATATTAGAACAACAAGCAAATAATTTCAAGGAGTCACTGAAGAAACATAATCTACAGTCCAACAAAGAAAAAGAGAAACTTTTGCAGGACCTTCAAAACACCATTAAAGAAAACCAAAATGTTAAACTGCAGTTGGAGGCATCACATCAAAAAGTCTTAAAAATGTTGGAGAAAAGCAAGAATCAGGAACTCAAGGTCAGTTTACTACATACTAATGTTAAAAAAATACATATATTTATGGGGTAAACAATCTAAGTGAGAGCCAATTATCAAAACTCAGTTATCTCCAATTAGTTTAATGATGGGTTGCTATTGTTGCACATAATTAATTATTCTGTGATTTTGCAACCTCCTCATCATCAGGCTGGGAGGGGTGGGTTGGTTGGTGGTTTGTGGGATTTTTGTTTTGTTTTTTAATAATTTCAACATTTTAACTTAGACAACATTGTGAATATATTATACCCTACAGTTAGGCTGTAATGAATACAAGCTCCTTTATCTGTGCACCTGCTTCAGAAATACAAGGGAACTCAGGAGTGTATTAATAACAGGACTCAGTTTTATTATGTTTCATCCATTATTAATTTATACATAAATATTTAAGAAGTATAATAGAAACATATAGTGATGTGTATTGCCTTATATTCCTTCAAGAAATCATTTCACTAACAGGATAGCCAAAGCTTTTAAAGGTCCAAGTGAATTGATTTCAGTGACGAAATGTTAATGCAATATACTGAAGTTCTAAAGACTGTTGCTGTCCAAGAAAAAATCATCTTGAAAAATGTACACATGATTGTGACATGGAGTTCAGATGTCCCTGTTGGTTCCCACAGTTTAGTACATTAACATATGAAACATAGGTAATAAAAACACCCTAAGTAGAATTTAATATCTTGTTTATATATTCCAAATAAAATTCCAGTTTTGACAAAACCAAGCTGAAGGCAGTGAGTTGGTGAGAATGAAACTGAGGATAGGAGTTTTGTTTCAGAGCCACTATCATTTGCAGAGCTCCATCATTTGCAGTGTACCAGCAGTACTTCTAATGACAGTGGAAGCGTGACCCAAGAGTGATTCAAGGAAAGATAGATGCCTTTGTCTGACACACTGTGATAAGTAATGGCAAACAAGTCAAATCTGGAGGCCTTTGTATGAAAAATAAAACTTTCTTTCTAATGTCAAATAGTGCAAAGATATCAGTGTTATTATTTCACTATGCTCAACAAATCTAAGAGGTGATACACTGATAATTTATCTTGTACCTATTAAGTGTTAATTTTCAACTTCAGCTCATTTTTATGCTTGCATTGATAAAATGTCTTGAAAACTGGTGATGAAAATTAAAGTTCTACAATGAAATGCCAGATTCATCCTAGCACTACAAGCAAAACAACAATCTGATAAACAGACTCCAACTACTTTGTTTTGGGGGGACTTTTGCTTTCAGGAGACAGAAGAACGTTTGAAAAAGGAATTTAATGAGACTTTGAAGATCCAACATCAGTCTCATAGGCTGGAAATACAAACCTTGGAAGAGAAAGCAAAGAAAGAATTGCATGATGAACTTGAGCAGATACAAAAGCAGCAAACCCTGTTGCTAGGTATAGTGCCTCATGTCTTGCACAGTTCCTACTGCTTGATTGTATATGTGCTGAGAACCACTGACTTTCGTCCCATTCATTTTCTTTCCCATTTTCTGGGTGCTCAAATCTTTGTTAATCTCTTATTTCATACCCTGCAATTTCAACAATATAATCTTAATATTCTTTGTTAACCAAGCTTTCAATTGTCAGCAGCAAAATGTTGCTGAGAGAGTAGTATGGTGTACAGCATTCAAGTATGCATTATCAGGCATATTAGATTGGAAAATTATAATTAGTTTATGTGATTTTCCTCTTCTTTTGCTATGTTGAGATGAATTTTTATATGTGCTTCAAGTCTGCTCTGTTGAGTTCAGCAGTGGAGATCAGTTGCTCCCTATGTACTGTTTAGTCAGTTTCAAAAGTGCCCAAAACTGTTTAGAACTAAACAGAGCACTGCACTAGCAAGATGTGTAATATCTCCAGGTTTAATCTCAGGTTATTAAAGCTCATCTATAAAATGGGGTTTTTTTAATTAAATAAAGAATAATTTGAAAGCATTTTACATACAAACTGAATTTTATTCTTGGAGTTTTTTTCCACCGGTAGTTAAAATTTGCTAGAAAGATTTCTTGCTCTCTAAAGTTTAGACTTTGAATAGATAGATTCTCTTCTTCAAGAAAAATTGTAGGGAGACAACAGAGATAAAAACTTTTTTCTTCGTGTATTTGAAAAACTTGTACCTAATATACCCAAAAGTTGCAGTATATGACAGGTGAGCTTGAATAAACATTGTACTTCTCTAACACAAGCAGAGCTTTCCTCAGTCTGCATTATGGCCCTCTGTAGAACACCAGTTGAATTAACAGGGAAGCTGAGGGGTTCTAATCTTCAAGATTAGAATAAACAATGGTGGTGATGGAGTCTGCAATACAACTGCCACAGAATTACCTCTCTGACTCTGATGTGGACTCATTGCTTTTGTAGCTCCATATCACGTTACTATTGCTCAGCTGAGTTACCTCTCTAGTAAAAGGAGGCCATTATGCGTAATGGGGAAGGAGTTGAGGAACAAAGCAAAATGTAAGGAGTTAATGTTTTCATCTACATTCCCTGTATCTGCCTTCCCCATCCAGCTGGCCTCTGACTGCCTAAATGACTGTCTGATTGTTACTAGGATCTCTAAGGATGGAACTCTCCGAGCAACAGACATCATGCACAAACCTAAAGAAACAAATAGAAGAACTACAAATGGAGCTGAGGAGTGTGAGGACACTGAAGAAGCAACAGGCAAGTGACCAGTTTGTACTTCATTGCCATGCTGTGTTTAGCAAAAGCAATAGTATAGAATTTCTCTCTCCAGTGATAAAAAAAGTCTCTTCCAGAAATGGAATGGGTTTTCTGCCTTTACGTCTCACTTGAAATGTTTATAATTTTTTACCCTGTAGGCAGGCTTTTTCTTTGCTAGTAAAGATCTGAATTTACAAAAGAAGTAAATGACTGAATGTTACAATAAAATAAATTCTGTGGAGACTATAGAATATATTCAGGAACTTTTGATCCCTGCTTTTGTCTTGCACATATGTAGCATGGCACATATAACTGAAAAATCAAATCACAAAAATGCAATGCACACAATTCCAGGAAGATATTAATATTAAAAATAAGAGTCTGTGAATAACTAAATGTGGCCTTTTTCTTAGGAAGGAAGTAGCCAAAGCCAGATCAGATCTCTTCACGATGAACTGGAAAAATGTCAGAGTGAAATTTCTGAACTCAAGAGAGAGAATTTACTTTTGAAGGACACAATGGAGCTGCTCAGTGCTGAGTTGGAGTCACAGAAGCAAGAAGCTGCACAGCTTCAGGACAGAGATAAACAGCATAGAAGGTTTGCCTTGAATTCACACTTGAGAGTGCTATCTAGAGGTTCAATAATAATGCCAGAGTGAGTGGTGTTGTTCTAAGTGTGATGCATGTCAGAATCTTTCCTTTCTAAAGTACTAATTTTAAAAGCTAGGAATTTTGCAAAATCAGTAGTTCATTTCACATTTTCCTCCAGCCATAATAGATGCATTTGAACTAATTGTTCATTATATGTTACAGAAAAGTATGTCTAGTGTATCCCCACAGGAGTGACCTAAGAAAATGTGCATAATGTCAGCCTTTCAAAGGCACTGGAAGACATAAATCCCAAACTCACCGAAGAGCTATTAAAAAAAACATAGAAGTCTCTGAGAATAAATACCAGGTTTTTACACGTACTCTGTAGCTGAAACCAATGAACTGTCAATTCAAAGGGAACACTTGAGAATGCCATATATTCCCTGTAAGAGTTTGCTTTGGCTGTAGCAGTCAGCTTTGCATTGGGGAAGTAAGGGCAGTGCCAGTGGATACTGACAGTGCCTCTGGGCTGATGGTGAGCCTGCTACTGTGAGAGGCTGTCAGGACACAGGAAAGGCAAGGTGACTTTAGTCTTGGCCATCTTGTAGAAGGTAAACCATGTCTTAGTGTAGCCACAGGCTCAGCACACGTGGTGCAAATGGGTCTTCCCTTTTCTGTTCAGGAAAAGTGCAGAATCCCAGGATCAATTAGGCTGGAAAAGACCTCTGAGATTATTGAGTCCAACCTTTAACCAAACACCACCATGTCAACTAGGTGCCCATGGGCAATGGCACTAGGTGCCACGTCCAGTATTTCCTTAAACACTTCTGGGCAGCCCATTCCAATGTCTAATCATGCTTCCTTTGAAGAAATTCTTTCTACTATCCAACCTAAACCTCCCCTGGCATGACCTAAAAGGAGACAAGACTGGGTTCACTGCCCACTGCATTTGTATGGCTGTTGAATCCTTTGAAATTTCTGGATGAACATACTTAACACATTCTCTTTGTAGAGAGACTGAGGCTTCTGGTGTGTGGGTACCTTTCAATTCATTTTTGCAATGGTGTAGAATGTATGCCCCTAACTCCACAAGCTGTATATATAAAAGAATTTCTGAAGAGTATGCCCTTCAAGTAATCTTTAAAATGATGGCCCATATAGTCCAGAGAAAAGCACTCAACGGATAGAATGTCTCTCTGCAGACTGTCAGAGTGGCCAGAGTAAGTCCATTCCTGTCTACCAGTCAGTAGATAACTTTTTTTTTTTTGCCATTGCACTCTTTGGAGAGTTACTTCAAAGTGAATTTCATTTCAAGCTTTTGAAGCAAGATCAACAGAGAGAATTGCAAACCAGAGAGTTTCATTAATGCCCTCAAGCTACCTTGAAGGAATTTAGAGCTTCTGTTCATGAAGAGAAGAATTATTCGCGTGTCAGTGCTGAGGTCTAAAAGGCCTCAAATGCTAAGGCTGCTGGGCTGGAGGATTTTCTTTAGAGGAATGAATGGTGTAGCTCTACTACAATAAGCATTTGGGAAGGAAGCATTAATGGAAATTATGTAAGGAGAAACCCTTCCAATAAATGGAGGTAGGATGAAAGCACTGAAGTGGACCTCAGTGCCTGATTCAGGCTGCTCTGAAATTAACCCATGGAAGACTTGAAAAACTAACTTGCAGCTCTTGTTTTGTTTTTGCCAGACTAATAATTTGTGTAGGGGAATAGTTAAATTGGTGCATATAAGTAATTGCTATTTTTCTTTTAACAATAGTGCCCCTGTCTTATGCCAGTTTCTTTTCTGATTTGAAAGCTGATAGTGGCTCGTTACTTGCATGTGACAATTTTTTATAACAAATTACTTAAAATTACTAGTCCTACTCTTGCCAAGTAAGTGAAACCCATAATCTGCTTGAAGCAATAATTCCTCTTTCAATTCTCTTGAACTGTGTGAATTCCACCTCCAGTACAAAAAGCTTTTACAAGGATGAGGATAAGAGCAGACAAAGGTGGTTTTATGGGAAGAGAGAACAAGTCTACAAATGGCTCTTCTGAAGGAGCATATTCTACTCCTGAATATTAATTTCAAGGAATCCTTCTCCATTTTTTACCCTTATTCTTCTGCTGCTTATTTTATGCTAAGTGCCAAATTAGTCACTTCCATGGCTGTGCTCTAATATCAAGGGGAGAAACCTTTCATGGACCTTTTGGTCTTTCCTGAAGCCTTTCAAAAACAAGTGAAACAGGATTGGGAATACATTAAAAAGAAGATGGGGAAAATGAAAGATAAGCTTAATGTCTTTTGTGAAAATTGCAATTGTTAATATGCTGAGTTGAGCATGTGAGTTTTAATTAGTAAACCATAGAACATGGGCTCTCTATTGAGTCAATGAAAAAGTTTCTCCAAGTAATGGCAAACAAAAATCAAACTATGATTCTTCAATAGATGCCTATTGCTTTTGGGATTGGTATTAGAATGCAGTGTTATGGTTAGACTTAAGAAAATATTAGACATTTTTTAGTTTTCAGTTTATGGTCTTAATCATATAGCAGTATCTTCCAAAATATATTGTGTGAAAAGATTAATGTTATAGTTAAAAGCATTTTTACAACACTGATAGGCAGTATGTAGTGAAATATATCACGAGAGCCTCATGTTAAAATGCCAGATATTTCAACATGGTTTTGCTTAATACAAATAAGTTCCTATGGTACTTTGTTGTCATATTTTATAATGAAAATTGATGTACAAACTAACCCTAGACAGAATATCAATAGCACCATTATATGGAATAGATCTTCAATTTCCTGAAGGGTGAAGGTCAAGTACTTTTCAAAATAATTTTTCTCTTCCTCAGTGTTAAAGTATTTCTTCTCAGATTGCAACCAAAATGTCAGTCAAATCTATAGGCAGGAGCCAGATCTTTGCCCAGTTAACTACCTTTGCAGTCAATAAAACTCCTCAAAACTGCATGCTTTGATCAATGATAACAAACTAATATTGAAACCTGAGAATTCAGACATATTTTAATACCAATGAAAGGCTACTGGTAGAAGACCTCAATATCAAGCATAAAAAAGAACTGGACGTACTGAAAGGAGATCACCGGAAGGAAATTGAAAACATAGTATCTGATTTCAGCAGCACTCAGGCACATCTCCAAGCAAAGATTTTCTCCTTAGAAACTGCGTAAGTAATTTAACAATAAACTCTGGCTCACACTGGCAATGAGTTCTGTTTGTATTTATTATTCTTAGTACATACAGGTTTTTATTAATCATAAGTAAAATATTATAAAGATCAAAACAGAAGTGTATAGGTATTGTCTTTGCAAACCAAAAAGACACAGCCACATTTTAATAAATTCTGGATATTGTTTAATCTAAAGCACTATACATGAAGTTTTACAATGCTAAATTAAAACTTGCATGTAGGATCTAGAAATTCTATGAAGTGTAAAATCACCTGTATTACTGATGATACCGGAGGCCTTGATCCATGATCTTGTACTTAATTTTGTTCAGCAGAGCAGCATCTTTGGGTAAAAGCTTCTTAACATCATTCCCACTCCCTTAAAAATTTCCAGGGAAAATGATGCTCCTGTAAATAAATGCAGTTTGCAGTCCCCTGTGGATTTAAGAAGTTCTGTGGGTCTTCAGATTGAACAGGAGAGACCCCTCAGAAATAATCCCTTATATATAGCCCTCCTTCTTTTCTCTTATTCCAACTGTTTAGAAGCAGCAGAAGTCCAGAAGAGAGACTTGGCATGTAAGCAGGCCTCTAACCTTTAAACCTTTCAGATGTAAGGATTTATCTTTTTATTTTAACTCAGAGATAACTCTAAGATAATAAGAGTCAGGGGTGGTCTTCTCAAAAATGTTTACCCACACATTAAAAAAAAAAGAAATTTAAGGAATTTAAAAAGCTGAACTCAGACTACAGGTTTTGACTCAGCAGGGTTAATAAAGTAGCATGCATATGCAAGCCTGTCTTCATGAAAGTTACAGGAATTGAGTCATTCTAAGGATTCCAAAGTTACTGGGTCAGAAAAGAGAACAAATAGTTGAATATAGATATGTATAGATACTCTGACACTGATTTCTTTCTTTAGGAAACTAGACTGGCAATATAATGTGCAAGCTTGTTAATATTTTACATAAAGGGCTGGATTTTACACTGGACAGGTGTTGTGGATTAACCCTGGAAATTTATTTTGGAACTCCATAAGATTCTATACCCTCTACATAAACCATGTACAGATGCCCATTTTATAAAAATCCAGTTTTATTGAAAAGGCCTGGCTGTGTCCCTGTATTTCAGGCTTGGAACATAGGGCAGAGTACATCCAAGGTTTCTCTTGAACCTAACCTGAGGGAGTTTTATTCTGGTCTGCATTTTTTTCGGTACAGACTTAAAGAATTAGAAGAAAAGTCAAGAAAGTGGGAGTCCAGGCCTGAAGATACACACCTTATAAACTGTCTGCAAGACAAATTAAGTGAGAGAGAAGAGATTATCAAGCAGCTGGTGGTAAGACTGCTTTTTATATGGACATATGTGTTCTGGAATCTATTGTGAGGCTCTATTCAGTGCTTCACACATTGCTTTGTTCTGGTTGTTTCTTTCTGTTCTGGAATTCTTTGACAAATGTATCTTTCCTTACCAGCTTCCAACAGATGCGCGTTTTCATACACATGACTTTGTTTCCCTTCAGGAAGGAAGAAAATGTCAGCATTCATTTTCAGCCAACACTGAGTCTTACAGGAATCGGTCATTTTCTTTCAACCCTAATACAGCATGCCTGACTCCCTCCATGAAGGTAAGATGAGCAGTGCAATTAAAATCACAATTTAAATGTTGATATTTGAGTTGATTTTGATATTTTGATATCAAATTTTGATAGTTTGATATAAAAATATCAATAGTTTGATAGTTTTATTCCTAATTTGAATAAGTATTTTTGATAGTTTTATTACTATTTGAATCATATCAGGACAATAAAAATGCTATCCATTTTTTATGATGATGTTATTCAGTAGAATTCTTTCCAGTGCCAACCTACAGTCAGTTGTTGAGCATAGAAGAAATTAATTAGAAGTATATATGCAACATAGCTTACAGGTGTTTAAGCCAATATAAAACACTAGAACTCTGACATCAGTCTTCCATTGGGATAAGCATAGCCATTGCTTGCAGATTTGGGAATTCCTAACTGGAATATTGCATGCAGTGAGGAAAATTGGGAATCTGTTTGAGTTGCAGTTGGTATCTGCCCTTTCTGCATGATATTTCTACAAATAGCCATAGAAAGAAGGGAGGTCAAGTTGGTGGAAAGCACCTTGATGTGTCTAAAATCTCAGGGTCAAATACATGTTGTTTTAATTGGATGACAAAATCCATGGATACCGCATACCCTGAGAATTTAATTTAAATGCCTATAGAAAAAGATAGAAATCTTCCTATTTGGGTGTTCCTCATAAGGTATTTGGGAATGAGATATTGTTAAGGTTTCATAGAATAAATTATAAAAAATGTGTATGTAATGAAGTTTTCTGTTACAATTAAAAGCAGAAGAAAAAGATTGAGGTGCCCAGTCGTGTTGTCAGTGTTCCGAATTTAGCTTCCTACGCAAAGAGCTTTTTGAGCTGTGACTTGAGATCAAAAAGAAGTGCTCCTCAAATAATAAAATCTACAAGCTTAGACCGGAGTTCTGGCTGCCTCAGGGTGGGCTCTCCATCAACACAGTCCTCAGACAGCAGTGCTGCCACAAGGTACTTGTCCATTTTGTATGATGATAAATGAATTCATATTTAGAATCTTGTAGGCATTTCAAAGACATTTGACATGTAGAAATACACAGCAATGTAAGGTTCCTGCTGCGCAGTGAACTCTGTGTGTTTGGTTTTCTTCAGACAGATCCAGAACTTTACTGCAAAAGTGGGCTATAATTCCTGCCCAGCAGACCTTATGCTTGCAACCCCTCCTGGCAGGGGAAAAAAACCCAAAACAAACCAGCCAAACAAAACACACACAGACACAAAAAAAAAAAAAAAGGAAAAGGAGCTGCAAGTATTTAACTAAGAATGTAGTTAATTTTGAACACTGCATCTTTCAGTGGTTCTGTAAAAGATGTGTGTCTTTTGTGTCTTCCTTCTTATTTTTATTGCCTCACCTTGCACTTGGTAGATGTGGATGGCATATTTTTATTTTAAGAGGTATTTGAATGAATCTAGGCTGATCATTTGGCAAAGATTAGAGATTTGAAAACTGATTATCAGATACGTCTTTGCTTTTTTCTCTCTGAGGAATTTAAATTCTTCAAATTTTTGAGTTATGTAAACACTGTTCAGTGTTTTATAACATAAACTCTTCTCTTCAAGAAATAGTTACAAATGTACATAGCTAATATACGGTTAAAAAATCCCAAACCTTACCACTGTATTTCAGGGCAAAATCCAGCCTTCTCAGCTATCTCCTGGTGGAGATTTAGTTACCCAGTAAATTATGTGCAAGAGAATTCTTTCCTTGGGGGCAGATGGTGCTGACTGCTGACAAAAACAACCTGGGACATAGGCTTAGATCCTGTTTGGCAATTCCCACTTCTTTAAGATACAAACATGCTGTGTCATGCCAGATGACTGCCAAGGCAAATGGGATTTCTGTTTTAGAGGGAAACAAATGTGCAGGGAAACTGAGGGTAGCTTGGCTGCTGCTCACTTAATTATTTTAAATCAATGATAAGTTGATTTACATTTAAATTTAAAATTTAAATTTAAAATTTAAAATTTAAATTAAAATCTATGATAAGTCCTATTTGCTATCATATGTTAAAAAAATCCTGAATGATGGAAAATCAGGGACTATGTAATAGGATTATGAATGCCAGGGTAGTGTTCAGATAAACCTTTCCATTTCAAATAGAACTTTTACCCAACATTTTAAATGCATAAATTGTATTTGGTATTTTTAAGAGTGAATTGCAGCTGCCATTCTCTGATTTTCAAGACTTCATATCCTTGAAGCATCCTTTTGTTTAATATTTTGGAGCAGTCAAGTTAAGAACTGTGTTCAAATGTTTCTGCATAGCTGTTGAGCTCTGCTTCATGCTTTTCTTCATGTTACAGTCAGTGCTGCTAGGAGAGTTACCTGGCTGGCACAGGTCCCACTAAAACTGTAGCTGGCACCTTTTGGCCTCATCCATTCATGTGAGCACAGAACCACTCATGGGATGATGAGTTCTTCTGGGAAAAGTATTACATGTTGATAAGATTGTAAATAAGTAGGTTGGTGATGCTAATGCTTATTTGTTTGCACAGGACACATGGCAATGAACCACCACAAACCAAAGATGACCAAAAACAAGACCCTCAGCATCAAGAATGGTTTACTAAGTATTTTTCATTTTAAAGCAAACTATTTCCATACTTCTCAGAATTACTATAAAAGTAATTCCCGTTTTCTTTTTAGGAATGATAATCCAATAGATGATTTAAGGGAAGAAAAAAAGTAATTTCTAAGTTAGGAAATACCTGCACTCTCTTACATCTAGTAACTATGGAGTTACAGGCATTAATTTCAGGAAAATGCATTTTTTAACAACTTCTGTAAAAAATGAAGGAAAAGTTTGGATACAGCTATGTGAAAGGACTTTTTAATGAAGAGACTATCACTCCACAAATTCATTAAATATGGGATTTGGACTCTGATATGTTCTGTCAATTTGGCACCAGCTGAAAAAATATCTTCCTTCTATACATTTATATGCTTGCTTCATCAGCTCTTTAAAGTAAGTTCTGCATATAATAATGTAATTTTAAAAGTTTTTAATGCTTTTTGTTAGATTAATTTTAAGCTGTACAGCATGTAGTACACCTTCAAAAATAGCATGTTTATAGCAGAAATAATTTCTGGTTTGCTTCATGAACTGTTTTGTATATCAGCTATTTGCTATGTAATATTCCTGTTGAATTTCAATGTATGTATCAGCCTGATAAATTGGGATGATGTGTAAGTATGAACATTAAAGCTTGTAAATCATCCAATTTCTGTGTTTTTCAAGACTTCTATGTTAATGCTGAAGTAAGTCAGACTTGTACACTGAGTTCCAGTGATGACAACTGCACCCTTGTACCTTTTAACTCCATACTAATTTTATGCCCATATACAAGCAAAGTGGGGGAATGACTACATTCATCAGGTCGTGCTAATTCATTGCTGGTAGGAAAGAACCCATGAAGAAGTTGACTCTTGGGTAATTAACCCATTAAGTGTAAAAGGCAGGAAAATGTGCAACCAGCAGCCTGCTATTTAACACAGGACAGTTCCTCTTCAATTGCTTTGAATCCCCATTTCATTTCAACCAACAGGGCCCAGCTACCTAAAAAAATGTTATACATGCAAAGAGGTGTACATCCAGCCTAGCCTCTTATCACATCCAACAGCCAGCAAGAGCTGCACCAACAGATCACTGGCACTCACTTCAGACAAAACAGCCACTGCATCTCAATGGTGGTGCAAAGGTGGGAGGAAGGGAAGAACATTTCTACATACCAACACTTTTCATCCCAGTTATCTAGTATTTTTTTTCCAAGAGGAACTGCTTGGTTGGAAAAGTGACTTTGGCAGTAGATTTGGCAAAAAAGGCATTTTTCATACTTGTAATCAAGAAAGATTAGTGTACAGAAACCCTGATGGGTACCTTGGCATCTGTGAGGATGGAAATGTACAGCACTGTTTTCATTACTTTTCCACACTGCCCCAATGACAATAGAAATTTCAACACACAATTAGCAATTCTTATTTCCAGGGTTACAACAATTAATTATTCAACTCTGCCCCCAAAAAAGTATATCTTGAAAAGTGGATGAATTAAATTTGCTGCTTCGTAATACACAGAAAGGACTCTTACTTCCAAAAGCTTTTTGGCTACATTTAACTCACTAAATAGAGCACTGCAATAGAAGGTAGTTCTGTATACTGGTCAGTGGTGGTGATCCTACCTCCACAATGAGTGCTCTGTATTTTGGAGTAGGTATTTTGAAACACCTCTTTAGCCTGAGAGTCAGAACATCAGTAATATGAGGCCTGCATTACATATCCCACTCTTTTTTATGTGTTTTTCCATTTCAGTTCATCCTATAAGAACCAAATTTGAATATCCCAAGACACCTTTCATGAGGTGAGCCAGTATGATGGGAGAGTGATGATTCATTTCAAAAAAAAGTGATCTGACCTACATACAGACAATTCTAAGAGTGTTTCTGCAGTGGTATTCATTAATAATTACTGGATCACAAAACATTTAAACATTCCAGAAAAATCAAACACTAATCTTTGCAAATATTTTGATCATACCAAAAAGAGACAAGAGAAAGCAAGGGCCACCTTCTCTAGAAGGAACAGGATGCATTCTGGGATACACACTTCTACCAGAAAGCAGCCTGAACAGGAACTCTTGAGTATTTTCCATTAAAACATAAAACCATTCTGTATTTCTGTAATAAAAGAAAATAAGAAAATGTATTTGGCTTAATTGTTTTAACTATATTTGCAGTACAAATTACATTATACAAAAAGCATACAAAGAACACCATTGCTTTTAAAATATTGAGTTGTGTAAAACTGAAGATTATGTTTGCTTCATTGGAGCAGGAATATTTGCAGATGCTTGTTCTAGGTAAGCTAATGGACCTTGAGGCATTTCTGCAGGCTTTTTGTGCTGTACACTGATGTCTTCCAGGACCTGTTGCCAGTGTCGCAGTTTACTCAAATGCTTCTGAATTAATGCTTCTTTCCTCTGCAATTCATTTCTCAATTCTGAAACATCCTGTGGATGAAAAAACTGTGTATTAGTAAATAGACAGTATTGAAAAGGATAACCAACCCCACATAAAGAGCATGTAACTTTTTTAGACATTGAGTTTTTTGAGTAGAAAAATGGAATAATGGAAAAGTGTCTAATGATAGAGAGGGCAAGCACTGTGAATGCACTAGTGCCGTTCACCTATGTCAGAAATTTAAGAGATCACCATCCCCAGCAAAATCTGACTAACTAGTTTGTCTCTTCCAATGAATTACCAGCTGTGTTCCAATACTCCACACACCAGCAGGTATCCAGCTTCTCCAGGTTCATGATGAGAGTTATGATAAAAGCCAAGTTCTACCAACTTAAGGTACAGTGATGAAGGTATATAGCTTATCTATCTAGCACAGGACAGGTAAATTAACATACCTCTTTAATTACTTGTTCTGGTTTCTGGACTGATAGCTGCAGTCTTTTTTGTAGAAAAAAGCATTCAGTTTGTCTTGCAACATCCAGAAACTTCTGGATGCACTGATCAACACCTAAACATGTAATAACAACACTGAAAGAACAGCTTCCAAAAAAATACGATTTCAGGCTGGTAATGGTAGTTGTCTATTAAAAACACTTTTCACAGTACCTTCTAGAATGAAAATCTTCAGACTATCTAAAATAATGTATTTATAAGCCAGTAAGTCCCTGTATAAGACACTGCTTTCGTACAAGTTATTTTATAAGTGCAGGACGACACTTCCTCCCTCATTTTATTTTATTTCTGACAAGAAGTAATAAAATAACTAATTGAACTTGCCTGCATGCCTAAGCAGCAAGCTCAGTGTAGGGTTCTCAAATATGCACTTATTGAGGAGAATATTCTGCCCTCATATACTACACACTACTGTTTTGGTAATAAAAGCTGTTCCATGCCAGTACATTAATATAATCAAATAGCCAGAAAAGAGTTTTTAAAAACATTTATACCGATTTTGAAACGCCATTTGAGTGAAGTTTTAGAAAATTTTCAGGGACAACTGCACTTCTAAGGAGTAGTCAAGGGCCACTTTTCAAACTCCTGTTCATACTAACACTTATTCCACCTCCACGGAGGTGCGTCACTCAAGCCCTAAAGCAGCTACTGAGCTGCCTGGCCCGGCCCTTGCCATGTCCCGTAACTGCTTCATTCCGCTTCCGAATGCATCACATCACCTCCCCGGTGCTCGAACGCTTTCACCGCACGCCAAAACTGGCACACTCCGACCTTCCCACGGGACCGCGGGCACTCCCGGGTCCGCTCCTTTCCTGCCACCGTTCCCAGCAGCATTCCAGCGAGAAGGGGAGGTGCCCTGCTCCTGCCCCGGGCTCACCGGTGCGGATCTCCTCCTGGTCCGTGCCGTTCACGTAGTCCTGGCTCACCAGCGAGGCGAAGCAGGCCTGCGGACAGGGAAGCACCGCGCTGAGCGGCTGCGGGGGGCCGGCGCAGGCAGGGCAGCGCCCGCCCGCGGCTGCCCCCCCTCACCTCGAAGGACGCTTCCAGCTCGTCCACCAGCGTGTTGTTGGGGTTGCGTGGCCCCGCGGGCGGAGGGATGAGGCCGGGCGGGCCGGGCGGGCCCGGCGGCGGCGGGCCCGGGGCCTGGGAGCCGAACATTCCGCCCAGTGCGCCCGCCATGGCGGGANNGGGGAGGGCCCGGCGCGGCCCCGCCCGCTGAGGGCCGGACCCTCGGGCCGCCGAGGCGTGTGGGTCCGGGCATTGCTCCTCGTCCTCTCACTGGGCTCCACTGGAAAGGGTCCGGCACCGTTCTCTTGGCACCTGTCTAAGATATTGTATTAATGAGATCCCTGCTTAGACTTCTCCAGACTAAACAGTCCCAGCTCCTGCAGTCTCTCCTCATACGAGATGTTCTATACCGTCCATCCTCACAGCCCTCTGCTGGACCCTCTCCAGCAGCTCCATGTGTTTCTTGCATTGACCAGCCCAGAACTGGACAGAGCACGCCAGAAGTGGCCCCGGTAGGGCAGAGGAGGGGGGAAGGATCACCTCCCTCAAGCCGCTGGCCACACCCTTCCCATCCACTCCAGGATACCAGTGGCCCTGCTGGAACACGGCAAGGAGAGACAGCACAGCCATCTGCCCCGAGGGACCCTCCTCCTCCAGCCTTTGCCCTGCCCGCGTCTCACAGGTGCGAGCCTGGGTAAGCGCTGCTTCAGCATCCCTTCAGCATCCCTTCAACTTGTCCCACAACAGCATTTAACAAAAACCCAACCTAAACCAAAATAAATCCCCACCTCATGGGCTTGGATCTCCCAAATTGTCAAAAAAACATCACCTCACGTTTTAAGTTTCAGGTCTGTTTGATGTTTTAACTGATTCTGGGAATAATATTCCTGCTTGAAGGGTGGCCACTTCACACCAGGAAAGAGGGGAATATAAGGATGACAAAAACCATGTGAGATAAGGGCAGGTCCCCCTAAAAAACACAAGCACTAACTTGCACCCACTAGTTTTCTGAAAATATACACTTCTTGACATGTTATAACTTACTACATAATTCTATGCTGAAGCCATGCTAATGCTAATCACCAGCACAATTTCTGCCTCAGTAAATACCAAAAGCAGTTTAGTTTTTCTAAGGAAAAAATGCCAGAATGGTGTTTCTATGAAAAACTTGGCAGAGTTCCCGTTGACACCACCTACAGTTCACTCAAAACTGAGGTACATCTATCATTGATTGTTTATTCTCTCTCAATCAAAACTCACATCCAAATAAGGTATTTATTGTTTACAACAGTTATGCATACTTTGCATATAAAATAGGTATCTCAATAGTTCCCATTATCATGTTTTGGTATTAAATATTTCAGTAGTTCAAACAGAATAATTTTTGTTTTGCTGCATAATAGGGTAAGGGATGAAAAATCTCAAAGTTGAGTTATTCTTTCCCAAGTAATATTTTATAAAATGCATTTTTAGTTAATTGCCATAGTGAAAATATGCTTGGGACATTCATTTATGAATGTATGATACCTTTTAAGATTTTTTTTCTTAAGGCAGAGTGGATGATTTTAGAACAAGTATTTTTATTTGGCATTGTGACTGTCTTGACTTAATCGAGCTGCAAACTCCACGAGCGTTCTCGTGGGCCGCCCTGCCATGCCCTTCCGGAGGTAGGGCACCTCATCTTTATTTGACATGACCCCAGCTATATCCAAATGAGCCCAGTGAGAGGCAGTCACAAATTCCTTCAGGAATGCAGCAGCTGTGCATGCTCCTCCAGCTCTGTGGGAAACAGAAAGATGTATTGTTCCCAAAGCAATTCCAACAGCACACGTATTATACAAATAGGTTGAACGAAAGGGGCACGTGGAAGGTATTGGCTCATCTTACCTGCTGTACTTTCCAATGTTGCTCACATCTGCAAGGGGACAGTCTGTGACTTGTTTTGTGTAATGCTTAAAAAGAGGCATCCTCCAAACTCTGTCCCCTGTCAAAATGCTGGCCTGAAAAAACCCAATGATATTTTGGGAATGTCTTTTTCTAACTGCACTTGTAAGCCCTGTTTTCATGCATGCTTCTTTTTGTTTAGGTTTTACCAGTCTAAAAACCTTCAGCCCAAGATATTAGGTTAGTGAATATACACTGTTTGCAAAACAAAACAGGCAATCCTGCTTTTTAGGTACTTTAGTGTTAGCCATAAGGCAACATCAAAAAACCGTATTTTTATCTGTTTTTCCTTTTTCCTGACAAGAGAAATCCTTTCCCTCAGAGGCTTCCTTGATCCACTGGACCTCAGCCACTCACAAGGCCTCTCTGAATATCTGTATCCATGTTGTTAAGCAAGATCAATTATCTTTTTAACATGAACTAATTACTGCCAGTAGTCCAGAGTTTATGCATATGTAGTGAGTTATCAGAACATGCAGATCCTTAAGATGGTGTATGATATTACATCGCACTGAAGAGCTAGTAATTAATAGCCAACATTATTTTCAACTAAATAGAGTACTGACATCATTCCTCTAAAATTTCAAAACATAATCACATCTTTCAGATTTGCATACAGACTTTCAGTAGTGTACTAACTTTTCAATAAGACATATCACTGAATTACTATTATGATTTAACAATAATGCAGGTGGCCTACCTCATAGAGGTGAGTCCAAAGCCAGGATGAATTTGTGAACACTCCAGTTGCAGCAGATCCCAATGCAACATCCATGGCACCTAAAGAAACACACCTTCAAGTTCATATGACAAAGGCAAAGGTGGACCTGAGCTATTCCTTGCATCCTAACTCCTCAAAGAACTTTCCATTTTTAATTCCCATTATCAGTAACAGGAATTTATCACACTGCAAAACTTGAAGACTAGTATAGTGACATTTTTGAAAGTCTGAGCGTCTTTAAAACACTTATATATTCTAAAAAACCATAAGAAATCATAAAAATTATATTGTTTTCCATGAAACTAAACTTTCTGGTTTCAGATTGATGTTTCTTAGAAATAGTTCTAAGATAATGTATTAAACAATAACAGTATCCTCTTAAAAACCACAGTAATTATTATTTTCATAT